ATATATTTTATATATAAAATTATATATAATATATAATATATATTTTATATATAAATTATATATAATACATATTACATAATAATATATTATATATATATTATATATGTGTTTCACATACATACTTTAGTCTTTCTGTCAGTCTTCAGAGTAATTTTTCATGTTCATTCATGTCCCAAGATACTTTTCTCTGATTTTTAAATGGGAACTTTCAGTGAAAGAATAGATTTTTATTTTAATTAATTAATTTTTTAGTTTTTTGCCATGGGGCATATGCATTCACCAAAGATACAGGAGAGGGAAAGTGAGAAATCATCTCCAAGGAGGGATAACCATGGCACAAGCCCTTCTTCATTCTTCCCTGGGATTTTGAGCACGCATACACACATGCCCAGTGTGCTTTTCAGGCCACCAGGTCTGGAACTCAAACTGTGATTGACCATGTCAGAGTTTATTATCTTACCCACCATGCCACCTACTAGCCCCAATAATTGATTTTTGAAATACTGTTTCTGTAAATGAAACCAAGAGTTTTCTTCTGTATCCTGCTCTTTTAAAATGTTTTCACATTGGCATTTGTGAAAAGGTGTGACACTTTCATTTCCAAACTTACAGGATAAAGCTTTGAAGTTTTTCACCATCACTGGTCAGACAATGGAGAGTTTTGTGAAGTCACTGGATGGGAATGTCAAGGAGGTAGATTCTGATGAAAATCAGTTTGTTTTTGCTTTGGCTGGAATTGTAACAAGTAAGTAATTCTTCTCAAATGTAGTGAATTATATAGAGTGGTAATTACAGTCAGGGGTGTGTGTACATAAGCATCTCTAAGGAAAGTTTTCAGATATCTACACTGGGACTCATTCTGGAGAATCTGATTCTGTTGATTTGAAAGGTACTAGGTACTAGGTGTTTTATATTTTGGAAAATCACCCCAGGTGGTTCTGATAAGTACCAGTAGTAATTCAAAATGACTGATCTAAATGAAATGCAGGTGAATTTGCATAGTTTGTTTAGTAACGTGTATAGACAGAAGAAAACGAAACAAAACTAAGTTAGCTGCTTGTTATTTAGAATCATCATTTTACTAATGTTTAGCTAAAGTAAAAACCTTACTTACACAAAGCTTGAGCTTTTTCTGTCATGTTAGTACAATAATTAAAGAATTCAAAAAAACCTAAATGGTTTCTTCACTAAATTTCTCCTAAAATGGTTATGCAGTAGACCAGAGAATGGAGGGTTTTGATAAAATTCTAAAGTAAAACTGTTAAAAGGGTTAAAATTTCAGCTTTAGATAATTTTTTGGTATAGTAGGATATGGTATATACTAGAGAATATTGAGGCTCTTTGATTTGAAGTTAGTTAAGTGGTTAAATTTATTGCTATGACAGTTACAATTTATATAATCTTCCATCTCTGCTGTATCTGTTATTTTTAGGATAATTTTCTGCTCTTAAAGATAGAGAAGACCCAACCATGGAGGAACAAGTGGAAGGGCACCACAGTCTGAGACTAGGGCCACATGGGAGACCCAGGTTTGGTTCTCCCAACCAACCTTAAATAGACAATGCTTAAGCAGCTAATCCTAGTTGGCAGGGAGGCAGTTGTGAGACCTTGTCAAAAATATCTCCCCTTCTCTCTTTTTCTCTATTTCCCTCCTCCCCCCATGTTGTCACTCTCTTTCTCTCATTAAAAAGGAAAGAGGGAAAATTTTATTTATTTGCTCATGGCATTTATTCTTTTTTCGCTGAAATCTTAAAAAGGCAGGTCCTTTCTAAAAGCATTTTCCTTATACTCCCTTAAGAATTGGTGATAGTTTTTATAGATACTGAGATTGTGATGGTCTCTGGCTAGTCCTTACTTGGCCTGGCACTTTCGTCCAGGAAGGGCAGTATTCTGTACATTCATTGTAGCACCTGCAACTAAAGAAGGCTTGTATCGTGCTCTTGTCTAAATTGTTGGAAGGTTATTATTATTTTTTTAATGGAATGCATTTTTAAGTTTGATGATTGGGTTTTCTTCTCTCTGCACATGATCCTAAAGGTCTAAAACCTGTGTGATTTGTTGAGTTCTGAATTTGAGCAGCCTAAATTACTGGCTAGTGTAGTGGTGAGGCAATCAGCTAGTGTATAAAACCAACTTATGTACCCAACATTCAAGCTCAACTTTGTTTTTGACTTTGTGTTCCATGACTTACATAGGAATTCTTTTGAGGAATTGGGAAGTGGCACTTATATTTACATGTTAATGAATTTGGTGGGAAACCTGAATACTGTGGTGTGTTTTATTAAAGTGCTGATATTTTTTTTAAAGAATTATTTATTTTTAATTGTTATTATTACTAATTATTTTAATTTGACTAGAGAAAGAGAAAGAGAAAGTGAGAAAGCAAGCCACTTGGTCTGGGACCCGAACCATGTGGGAAGTCTAGTACCTCAGTCACCATGCCACCTGCTGGCCCTAAAGTGCTGATTTTCAGAAGCATTGGGGGATCATGCATCTCAAATGCCAAGATTATTCTATGGGGAATAGGCCACATAAAAGACCATGGGTTAGCTGTCAAGTAGCTCTTCTAATTTCTAAAACAAGGGCTGTTCTTTTTTTTTTTTTTTTTTTTTTTTTT